TCTGATTTCCACCGCATGCTACACAACTAGGTGAATTAGGTCGTAGTGATAGTAGACTTGCGCATCATCTACCACCTACATGCATAGTATGGGCCAAAATCGACGAAACGTCCTCGAATTAATGAAAACCTTGAATAACTATTAATTGTTCTCATTCCGGACGCCAATAGTAAAAATCGACGACCCTATCTAGACAGAAAAAGTTATCTAAATTGTCTAATTATCATAATTATCTAGTTGTGATGTGCTTTTAAAGGAGATCATTTTTACCTAGTCACTGACAATTAAAAATCGTGTGTACTTTGGGTAGGGCAGCCAGGGATAGTCGGACGCAAAAAATGAACTATTGGCGAGGAATTGGATTAGCACGAACATAAAGCACTTCCTGCCGCATTCCGGTTCGTTGTACTGAAACTTTCAGAATTTAGTTGAACATGACCTGAATTCTAGGTGAAGTGTGAAAAAAAAGTCGTTCAACATGCATGGCGTGTTTTATCTAGATATATAGTGAATGGGATGCGGGCAAAGATATTTTCAGTCCAGTGTGCTATAAGCCGATCTTAGGCATAGAAGTTGTAAGGCGGGAGTCCCCAAAAATCGAGGTATGTAGTATGTGACCTAACTCATGAAACGCGATGACGGAAACTGATATAATAGTTTTTAAACGACTAAAACTTTGCACACTTTCCGCATTCGTGTAACTCCATCCGGAAAATGTCATACTTTTCGTACAGAGTATGTGTCTTATTTTGTCTGGCGAAATATTCATAGGTTTCAGCAGGAATCTACGTTACTCTGTGTTCGGACAGCTTCACATGTTCATAGATGTCCTCGGCATGGTTCGCGCATCTGAGGTTGTTTTCATTCAGGGGAGTAATTTGACCTTGAGAGTTTTGGTAAACAGACCTTACCGCACTTGAACAGTGATTTTTTGTCCGACGTAAGCTGCATGAAGTGCGTTGCGAGCAAGCAGATTATTTTTTCAGGAAACCAGACGTTTTATTGATTTTTGAAAGTCATATTTGCAAATCTATATGATTTCATTATGGTGTGCACTCATGTTTACCAGGCATTTCCAGGATGTATGATGGTTCTCCTCAGACGGAAATTTAGTCTGAAAACAACTGCGCCTTTGCTGTTTCTTACACTAATTGTACGTTTGCATGAGCGTCATGAAATTTTCATATGATCACTGGTCGGAAATTCAACCTAAAAGGTAAAAAAATGAGTTTCCCCTTCCCAAGGCACCATGTTCATACCCGGGGTGGCTATACGCGCAATAGAAGATCCTGTCGATGTTGTGTGACGAGTGAAATCTCAAGGTTGTTTAGAAAGCGCATTTTGACCTTAAATCTTTGCCACAACCGGATTGTTTGAGCCACCTTGCAAACCGA